TCAAGAGCTAATAATACCTTATCTAATACCTTACCTAATCTAAGCGCTAATAAAAGAGGTATTAATAGCTCAAGACTGATGTTATACAGAGCAATTGTGGCTACGTAGTGCCACAGTCTATATAAAACTGTTAGCTATAAGAAGGTAAGTAATGAATATTGTAAGATATGCAACCCATGCAGACATGGTCTCAGTCGCTGATTGTTATTAATTGTCAGGTAGTGTTGCAGACTTCCACAAGAAAAGTGTATAGCCTAATTCCACGGTACATATGTTTGAGAATGTTTGTTTGCATTCATATTTGTTCTTTGTATCAGGGGAGACCTGGGGTAGACCTGGGAGCTGCCACCAATACTCACTGTTATCTCTTTATCTCTATAAGTTATAGTTGATCATCTCTAGCCGCTGCCAGTTCAATATATATATTTGTCACTCAACTGCTGCTAGTATAAAGTTGGGTTTACACTATCGAAAAGTTGATACAACAAGTTGATAAAACTTTTTAGCATTTTGTCAACCTTTTTATCAGTTGTTCAAAGTGTTTACATTATCGACAGCGAGTCGTCAAACGTTTGAACATTTCGCTCGCTGTGTGCGCGCAGGGTGCCGTGGATACGCACTTTTGCACGTATTGATTCGCACCAGGTGTAGCCGTGTGATGCCGATATCAAAAACGCGCACGGAAATAATCTCCCTCTGGGTGGAGGGACACACCTCCTGATTGCTGTTATCAGAGTGGCTGCATGGCAAAAAGTTGATCAACTCGCTGGCCAAAAGTGGAGAAAATAGGACATGTTCTTATTTCTCAACTAGTTGAGCACTTAACTTTTACGTTCACACTGCCGACTTTCGGTCGATAAGTTGATCAACTGAACTCGTCAACTTTTCAACAGAAGTTGATAGTGTAAACCCAGCTTATATCAGCTAACCTATATAGCTGCTATGCTCAGCATAACCAACATGTAAGTGTGAGTTTTGAAACTAGCTCTCAGTCTCAGACTGCAACTCTATTATAAGTATATGGTATTATATATATATATATATATTATAACATGAAGATATAATATGAAGATATAAAAAGCCCAATATGTTTACAGGCACACAAGGTCAAATATGTACCGGCCTGTCTAAAACTAGCTAGAGTGGAAGAGGAGGAAATATGAGGGTGAAGTAGGTGTGCTATTATTTTTTAGTTTAGTTTAGTGTATACATGCCATTTAATGTGCCCTAACCATTTTCAATTGAAATTTACTGTATAAATTATCAACTGTCAAATTGTACTCAACACAGTATTAATGAATTTGTTCGCAGAGACAAAATATATATTTCCCCATCTGGAGTACTAAAGGAACGCATTCAGGTTAGTTTTGATGCTTATCCATCTTATACAGAACCACTTTGTCATCCAATATGTGGCACCAGGAGTTTTGCATATATGCATGATATCGATCCACTCAATCAGTTTTTTAAATGGCAGATTGCATTCAACATAGTGAAATTAATTCGTAGCACCACTAAAGCCGTGATTTGCGTCAACAGTATATACAGTAGATCGTAATTCTCTTATTACATGTTCCTTTGGTATATATGTCATATGGGTTCTGAGCAATATGGGATAGCTTAAGTTTTCTATCACCTAATGCCACCTATGATATGCATATATTAGCTATAAATGCGTTATATGTATGAGACTCTATGTAATGACTATATGTATGCAAAATATTTTACTCGTCTTCTATACATTTTCAATTAGAAACTCACTGAACCTAATATGCTTCCAGAGAGAGGACCTTTTTGTGCTGAATCTAGAGGGAGAAGAGCTGGATGTACCGCCACCCTACAAGAAGCTACATAGGAGTTCATGCACCCCAAACTTCCTGAATGCCTACACACTTCGAAGTAATTAGAATTATGCCAGGAATTCGTAACCACTTCGAAAAGTAGCCAGTGCATGCACCCAGATTGATAGTGACAGCCTGCATCCATTTGGTGTGTGTTAATGAAATATGATATGAAACTGAAAGGTGATGTTTTTAGCCTAATGTGATGTCTAAACCCTTTGAGTGTATAGAGGATAGATAGAAAACAAAAGGCCAATTAACCTGTCTGTCTTAGCCAGATAATCATGCTTTAGGTTTTGTTGTCCAAGCTAGATAAGTTTATACATATTTTTTACACGTCCATTAATTATTGACTTTGTGGCACTTTGTCACTACGCAGTGTTTTTAGAATGCCCTATCGCAATGCTGATTGGTTTGAACTTCTTTTGGGTTCTTTTGGATGAATAAATCAATCGCTATCAACCATCTCTGATACCATTCCACTGCTGGCTTTTCTCTACAGTGTCGTGACATGGCGATACTTGTTTCAGAGGCCGGCTCAGTGATGCACATTCACTCGAGGAATGCCGTGCTGGCTACACTGCTCTACCCAGGCAGCGAAATCCGCCTCACTCACCTGCAGATGATCAAGGGCATCCATAACCCGACGACGGGGGTAAATTTCAACTACGACCATGAAATCGTGATTCCGGTGATTGAGAACACGAGGGAGGAAGTCGGCTTGAAGGTCCGTCAAACTGCGTTCGACAGGCAGTCCGTGCCGTGTTTGTAGAAACATACTGCTGAGACATCGTGTAGAATTTGTTTCGGCTGTTTTTCGCCAGCCTCACTATTCATGTGTAAATTGCATGTGAAGGCCTACTCTCTTTCACCTACGGCTACACCGCCGATAGTTTCCAACCACTGCATTACCGGCTGCCATTGCTCTCGCGGCGCGACTGTTGCACGCTTGCACTAATAAAGAGAGCAACTCTATATACTATATACTATATACTATATACTATATACAGAGAGCACTAATATAGAGAGCAACTCTCTATATTAGTGCAAGCGAGCAACAGTCGCGCCGCGAGAGCAATGGCAGCCGGTAATGCAGTGGTTGGAAACTATCGGCGGTGTAGCCGTAGGTGAAAGAGAGTAGGCCTGGCTAGTATAGTATAGAAACATTAAGAATTTTGTACTAAGTAAATAGATTTCGTATTTAGTTAGCATTATATTTTATTGAAACGCTTCAAGTGCCTGTGCACAGGATAGGTTCCTATATACTGTGTTTGGGTTACATTATTGTATCTATCCCGCCCTGTGCACAAACAGCGTGAATAAAATAATCATTAGGCCTATCTTATTAACGAATTATTACGGCCTTTATTCACGAATTATCTTATTCACGTTGTTTGTGCACAGGGCTGGCGTGCAGTGTACTTGTGTGTTGCAAATGAGCATTTGACCGGCATTTACAGGTAATTATCGGCAATAATAGGCAAAATAGAGTAGAGAAACATTAAAACTGGTAGTAAATACATTTCGTGTTTACTTTTTTTTTTTTAATTGAGACGGTTCCAAGTGCCTGTGCATACAGCTGCAGTGTACTAAAGGGGTACTAAATGGGCGACGGTAATTTATTTCTTGTGTACGTATTTATAGTGTATATATACTTCTTGTCTTAATTTATACTAGGGTACAGCTAGTATGGCCTGCAATCCACATCACGTAAAACAACAACTTTTCTCGATCTCCTACCTAGAGTCAAGATCGACCAATTGTCCCATAGAAAGTTGTAATGATCTGACGGTAACACTATTCCAGGAATAGCTCATACAAATTTCTACGGCACAATTTATCGGTGCACCATACCCCAGCACTGCAGATTGTAGGGTATGATGTACGAATGTTTGAATGTTGCTTTGCAGGAGGATCCCCGGGAACTTATTCCCGACCTCTGCCGTGTATACTATCATTTTGGATGGATGCTCGGAAGTGGTGGGTCAATCAGTATGCGTCAGGGGTGAGTAGAATTAAGAGTGTCCGTAGTCCAGGACTCCAGGTAATGCTGATGTGGTGCTATAGCTGCAAGAAATAAAACGGTCTTGCTAATCACTTTGTATTACAAATTAAGACAATCAGTATACGTATATATAGACAATTATAGACTTTGTATAGACAATCAGTCGTACAGCCTCATCGGCCTAATGTGGTGCTAGATTTCAAGCCATTAGAATCGTTAGCTAGAGCACTATATAGGTACAGCCATCGTCACACTGCTAGACATGTTGTCAAGAGCTAATAATACCTTATCTAATACCTTACCTAATCTAAGCGCTAATAAAAGAGGTATTAATAGCTCAAGA